CTGGTGCTCCCAATAACAAAATTAAGGCTTACTTCTCCATGGACAGCAGCGGAGCCCCCTGTAGCAGTATGTAGTCGCCATTGTGTTGTTTTAACCTTCTTCGATATTTTAAGAATGTCCGGTCTGATGATAGTTTTCGTCGCACCTGTATCCAACAGCATGGTCCGGAACTCTCCATCAACAAAACCATCCACAAAAATGCTGTTGAATTTGTGTTGTAGCGAGGCGTCTCGAGCAGTTTTCGTTGGGGCATGTTGGGTACAGGTCGACGTGTGCCCCTTCATTTCGACCCTTAGTAGTTTTCCGACCTCGACGAAGCCGGTTCTTCGTTCTTCTCCTTATAACGGCTTCGCACGTGTCCTACCTGTCCGCAGTTCCGGCAACGAATCGGTCCCTTCTTGCCCATGTACTGGTCCATTACTTTCCGAACAATTCCTTCCACGGATTCGTCGGAACATTCGTCGATGGCCCGTACTCTTCCTAAAGACCGAGAACTTTATTTCGCGGCCTCGAATTCTAGGGCACGTGCTAAAGCATCCACCGATGACGTTGGGTGGGCTAGGAGAAGCGCTTGTCTTGTATCGTTGTCACGTAAGCCGTCGGAGAATGCCTGTACTGCCAACCGCTCCATAACATTCTCAGGCGTAGCAGGGTACAGGGTACGCAAGGCGAACGAGGCGGGCTACATCGGCTTCAAACTCCTGCAGAGACTCATTTGCCTTTTGAATGCGATTTTTTAGCTGGGAATGATAGACATGTTCCAAATGAGCTTGGCTGTACCTCATTTCTAAATGTCGTACCAATTGCTGATAATCTCCCTGTTCCGATGGTGACAGTGTCTGCAGGATATCAGTCGCATCTCCTCGCAGTGCGATAGTCAAAGCGGTAGCTTTTTCAGCGATTGTCCAGCCGTTCGCTCTCGCAGCGGCTTCAAATTGGCAAAAATAATTGGCCCAAGCGGTTTTTCCGTCAAACTGTGGAGGTTTCATAACTGATTTTGAGGCATACCTATTTTCGACTAGTTTCGGTCCCTCCGATGTTTCTTGACATTTTGGTGAATTTGCTTTTGCTATTTGTTCTTTCAAAATTTCGATTTTTCTATTTACATCTTCCTCAATCTCTGTTATTTTGTCTTGTAGTTCCGTTGAATTCTCTATAATCTTATTGTTTAAACTTTCTTCTAAATTAAGTATTTTGTCACTAAAACTGGCTTGTAGATCTTTAGAATTTTCTATGATTTTATCCTCTAAAATATTAATTAAATCCTGGGAATTTTCCATAATTTTATCTTTCAAACTGTCTTCTAAATTTTGAGAATTCTCTGTAATTTTATCGTTCAAACTGTCTTCCAATTTTTGAGAATTTTCCGTCATTTTATCTTCTAATTGTTGTAGGCACGAGTCAAGGTCACCTTCCAATTCAAAGCAAAATGTGTCCGGATCCTCGCCTTCCTCCCTCAAAACGTCTCTCAGTCTGGCTTGCAAAATGCTTTTCTTTTCATCTGTCTCGCACTCTCTCTCTTCCAATATGCATTTCAGTTCGGACACTCTCAAGAATTTCAACAATTTTTTCGGAGCCATTATTAGTCTTTTTATTTTTCTAGTCTATCACACACACCACACTTGACACCAATTGTTACGTTTTTCGTCGGTTCCGTGTGGATAGAAAGTCACAATTTATTTAAACACTATTTATTTAACACTAATTAACAAAAACAATAACGATAAGCGATTTATAGAACTATTTAGAAACGATTTATAACTAAGAATTTATTTTGAATTTTAGCGCGTCAACTGCACTCGTCTATTTATAACTGCCCTCTCTAGGCCACAGCCGCCGGCTTTTATACCTACAGTTAAAGTTTACTAGAATAGTCCATAGATCGTTAGGTGCATAGAGAAGGTTTCGAATGTTCTCGTATGTACTACTCCATTCCAGTGGGACTCGATTCTTCTCGAATCTTCGAATGAATCATTACGGTGTCTATTCTTTAATGCGATGTTAAGGTCATCCGAGGGCGGGCCATATAGTTAGGTTAGGTCGAGTCCACACCGGTCCGCAACAATAATTTTAAATTGTGCACATTGCCTCCCCACATATACCCATAAATTTTTTTTTCTACATCTTTCAGTTTTCGTAGAAACAACCGAGGCGAATGAGGTGCGCCACCCTGTATATATATACAGGGTGAGTCTTAAATAAGTGCAAATATTTACAGGGCTGATAGATATCGATAAATTATAATATAATAATAAGGATTTATTTGACGTTTTTCAAATAAGTCCTTATGGTTTAAAAACTAAAAAAATCCAATTTTTTTTTCAAAAAATTCGAAATATACTACCCCTAGAAATATTTGTACTTATTTAAGACTCACCCTGTATATACAAATATTAGGCAATTTTTTTGTGAATTATTTTAGTCACTATATAAGCAGATAACAACAATACCTTGTCTAAAAAGATCAAGTCCTCTCTAAACTACTTATAATGCAGCAACAATATACATGGTGGTCCAAACTCTACTCCGGAAACTTCGGCAACATATTCTGCAGATAAAAATAAGTAAAAAAGTTCGTATACATCTATGTCCTGAAATGCTTAGTTTAGGAGATACAGGGTGTAGAAATTTCATTTTTATTTTGATTTTTTCCAAATAATTTCTTCTTTTTTTTGACACGAGAAATTTGATTTTGAGGTCAATATGACTTCTACTTGTAGAGGGCGCCACCTACCTAATATACAGGGTCCGGCAATAGTGCGTCGGGCATCTGTAGCTCCTAGAATAAAAAACTTAGGAATTCTGTTTAAGTGCAAACCTAAAGTATGTATTAGGATGTATTTCAGGAAAATATTTTAACTTCTATAGGGTGGCTCAAAAAAGTTTGAGTGGAACTGGATGATTTTTTTTAAATGGAACACCCTGTATATTATTGCATTTTTGGCTTCCTTTCAGATCACTTTACAAAATCCTAAAACATCAGTAAATATATTCCGATAATTTCAGAGATATTAATAAATAAATAAAAATTATATATTTTTCAGCCTTTCTTAAAAAAATTATTAATAATACAAGAACTGTCCTGAAATTAAAACTATATTAGATATTTACTGTAGATGGTCTGTACTTAACTTTGCTATAAATATGGAAAACGTAAATCATTCAGGATGTTCAAAACTCTACGCCAAACTTTCTAAAATATAAACTAATTTTTCTTCGTTTTTTTAATGGAACACCCTGTATATTATGTTTTCAATAGATGGAGAATTAAAAAATGAACATTTTTTATATTTAGAGTATTTCAAAATTTTTAACGGTTTCGCAGATATTCGCGGTTTTATATTTCATATGGCATATTCCTCATTAAATTTTTATCAAATCCACCTAATGATTTTTCTCGTGTATTTTACCATTGAAAGCACCATATGAAGTAATACTGCGTGTATCTGCAAAACTATTAAAAATTTTGAAATACTTTAAATACAAAAAATGTTCATTCTTTAACTCTCCATCCAATAAAAAAATAATATACAGGGTGTTTCATTTAAAAAAACATAGAAAAATTATTTTATATTTTAGAAAGTTTGGCGTAGAATATTGAACATCCTGTATGATTGTATGATCTACGATTACCATATTTATAGCAAAGTAAGAACAGACCATCTAAAGTAAATACCTAATATAATTTTGATTTCAGAACAGTTCTTGTATTTTTAATAATTCTTTTTAAGAAGGGCTGAAAAATATATATTTTTGATTTATTGATTAATATCTCTGAAACTATCGAAAAATATTTTGCTCATATCTTAGGATTATGTAAAGTGGTCTAAAAGGACGCCAAAAATGCAACAATATACAGGGTGTTCCATTTAAAAAAATCATCCAGATCCACTCATACTTTTTTGAGCCACCCTATAGAAGTTAAAATATTTTCCTGAGATACATCCTGGTACATACTTTAGGTTTTCACTTAAACAGAATTTACAAGTTTTTTATTGTAGGAGCTACAGATGCCCGACGCACTATTGCCGGACCCTGTATATTTACGACGTTTTTTAAGGAAAAAAAATCGCTACGAGTAATGGTTTTCGAGATATTTGGAATTGATCTTATCAATACCTGTCATCATTGACATAAATTAAACATGTAAACTAAATAGTTATTAGACCAAAATTATAAATTTTAAATGATTTTGTGTCTAAAGTTCAACAGAAACTGTTTTATCATCATTTTTTCCGAGAAAAATTTATGATTAATTTAAAAAATTAAACATTTCCCAAATTTGTAATTTCAGTCAAATAACAATCTACTCAACATGTTTATTTTTGGTCAATAATGACACGTATTGACTATTTACATTCTAAATATCTTGAGAACAGTTACTTGTAGCGATTTTTACCAAAAGATATTTGTTACATAAAAAATCACGGAAATGTATATTTTTTCACTCAGTAGTTTTATACAAGTACGGACGAAAAGTTATGACTCTTCAAAACAGTTAAACACATGTAGGTGGCGTCCCCTACACATAGGAGTCATATTGACATCAAAATCAAATTTATCGTGTCAAAAAACTCCCAGACACCAATTTTCATCTAAATATTGACGTTACTTAAGAAATTATTTGGAAAAAATTGAAATAAACATGAAACTTCTACACCCTCTTTCTCCGAAACTAAGCAATTTAGGACATACATTTATACGAACTTTTTTACTTACTTTTATCTACAGAATATGCTGCCAAAGTTTCCGGAATATAGTTCGGACCACCCTGTAAACGTCTAAATATAATATGACCAAAAAAAACGGCGTCAAAGTGAAGGTGAAAATCGCCTGTTACTTTATATATAAAACTATATCGAAATTTTCATTGATTGTAATTTTCAAACCAATGTTGAATCGGAATTGTATTGAGTGGAATAATTCTAGACAAGAATACTTTCTTAATTACAATCTCCGTTATAAAAATTAAAATAAGAACAACGAATGCAATTTTTTAGAATTTGAGCGGACGCACTATCCGGATGTCTTCGCCAGGGAACGACTAGCTGCCAAGATCGGTTTGCCCGAAGCCAGAATTCAAGTATGGTTCTCAAACAGGAGAGCAAAATGGAGACGAGAAGAAAAATTGAGGAACCAAAGGAGAGGAACCCAGGCACCATCGGATGGGCCAGGACCCAATACGTCCCCTCCTAGATTACAAAACTTCGGAAATACTAGTCCAGCAATGTACTCGCCTATCGCACCCTCCATGTCTATAACAGATACTTACAGGTAAACATAAATTAGACTGTTTTATTATAAATGTCCAGAGTAGTTTAAAAAATTAGTAACATACAGAGCGATCAACAATGACTGAAATAGCTGGCATTTTGGCTATTCTGATTTGGCTTGTTTGGTTGTAAATGAATTAAAGTAATTCGAATATTAATCGGCTATTATCACGAACTTTAAAACAAACAAAAAATTAAATATTTTATTTTTTTTAACGATCTTTACATTCCTTTTCCATCTATCTATCTATTCAGCCTCTTCGGTCCATCGTTGGACATAGGCCTCCCCCAATCTCTTCCACTCTTCCCTCTCTGTCACCGCGCTCATCCATCTTGTGCCTGCATGTTTCCTCAGATCGTCCACCCATCTCATCTGAGACCTTCCTCTACTTCTTCTATTCTCCCAGGGCCTCCAGCTTACGATGCATTTGTTCCATCGATCATCCTTTTGTCTGACATTGTGACCGGCAAACTTCCATTTCAATTTTGCTACTTCACTTCTCACATCCCTTACTTTAGTTTTTCCTCTGATCCACTCATTCCTTTTTCTATCTGCCAGCCTTACATGTAGCATTTGTATTTCCACAGCTCTTTGATATTTTGTTACCTTATCCATATTTGATTTTGTCAGTGTCCAGGTCTGGAATCCGTAAGTAAGAATAGGGAGCGAGACAGGGAGTATACATTGATTATATACTTTGGTTTTGAGGTACTGTGGATAACTTTTGTTTTTTAATATGTAACTTAATTTTCCAGTGCTGCCCAGGCCAGTCTCACTCGTCTCTTTATTTCAGCTGTTTGGTTTTCTTTTTTGAGTTTAATCATTTGTCTCAGATATATATACTCTTCAACTTGTTCTATTTTTTCTTGGTTTATTCTGGTTGTTATGTTTTCATCTGTGTTTGTTATGATTTTAGTTTTAGTGTAGTTCATATTTAGGCTTATTCTTCTAGCTGCTGTGTCCAGTTCTTCCAGCATTTCTACCAGTTCTTCTTTCTTTTCTGTTATTAAGGCGATATCATCCGCATATCTTAGGTGATTCAAATATTGTCGACATATTTTGATACCTTTTTCTTCCCAGTCTAAATTTTTGAAAACGTCTTCTAATGCCTGGTTAAAGAGTTTAGGGGATATTGTGTCACCCTGTCTGACACCTCTTCCTATGCGAATTGGCTTTGTTCCTTCGTGGATTTTAATTGTTGTTGTTGCTTCGCCTACGCGTTGCCAAATCAAGAAGCGTCCACCATTGTTGATGCTCTTGTTAAGGAATGGATCTGCAGGTTTGGTGTTCCCATGGAGCTGCATTCAGATCAGGGAAGAAAATTTGAGTCCAATCTGTTCCAAGGCGTCTGTGAAGTCCTTAACATCCGCAAGACCAGGACGACTGCTCTGCATCCACAATCCGATGGAATGGTTGAACGCATGAACAGAACCATCAACCGTTATTTGGCCAAAGTAGTCTCTGACCACCAAAGAGACTGGGACAAATTTCTTCACCTGTTCCTGTTGGCCTATCGTTCATCCGTCCAAGAATCCACGGGGCAAACTCCAGCCAGCATCGTTATGGGACGGGAAGTGCGCCTACCTTGTGATCTGAAGTTTGGTTGACGACCGGGAGAAGATGTCGCCGGAGAAGATTATGTCCATAGACTACGCCAAAGGATGGACGACATCCATCAGCGAGTCCGCCTAAATATTCAAAGCGCTAGTGACCGAATGAAGAGACGGCGTGGGTTATCTCCGAAGCTACAATCCTCGTGGGAAGGGCCATACGAAGTCATGGATAGGATTAATGACATCGTATACCGTATCAGAAAATTGCCAAAAGGAAAGCCGAGGGTAGTCCATTTCAACCGTTTGAGCCCCTACCAAGGCGAAATAGAAGATCGTGCTGGGACCGTGAGAACCTGCAGCTTTGATCCCCCTGATTCGGAGATGTTCTTTGACGATTTCATGGCCCGATACAACAGCAGTGAGAAGGCTCGCTATGGTGTAACCAAAGAAGATCAACGAGACCTCTTTTCCGTGCCTCCAGATTATTCGCTCGCTCACTGTGTGGCCCGAGATTTGCGGATGTCCAGAGGAATCGCTGCGGCGTTCAATGAGAAGTTTGGGCGTGTCGGAGAACTACGCCGACAGGATCCAGAGGTTGGAAACGTCTTGAGGCTAACCGACAATGCACATGGTCAAGCAAGACACATCTTCTACCTGGTCACCAAGGAATGGTCCCCGAGTAAGCCGACTTATCTCAATCTATGGAAGACCCTGATTGAACTGAGAGAAGCCCTGCTAAACAACAACATTGCACGATTAGCCATTCCGAAGCTGGCGTGTGGACTCGATGGTTTGAGTTGGCGTACAATCCGGAACATGATTGAAGTCTTGTTCAGATTTACGGGAATCGAGATCCTTGTTTGCTGCTACAACCAAATCGAGATCGGGAGAGAAAACTGTAGACTGCTATTTCTACCAGACGCAATGTACCAGGGGCCAGCTTTGCAAATACCTTCATCCACCGTGTACATGTCGGGACGAGCATGTACCTAAGAAGGGGGCAGTGTTGCGGACCGGTGTGGACTCGACCTAACCTAACTATATGGCCCGCCCTCGGATGGCCTTAACATCGCATTAAAGAATAGACACCGTAATGATTCATTCGAAGTTCGAGAAGAATCGAGTTCCACTAGAATGGAGTAGTACATACGAGAACAATCCAAACCTTCTCTATGCACCTAACGATCTATGGACTATTCTAGAGATCTTTAGCTGTCGGTATAAAAGCCGGCGGCTGTGGCCTAGAGAGGGCAGTTATAAATAGACGAGTGCAGTTGACGCGCTAAAATTCAAAATAAATTCTTAGTTATAAATCGTTTGTAAATAGTTCTATAAATCTCTTATCGTTATTGTTTTTGTTAATTAGTGTTAAATAAATAGTGTTTAAATAAATTGTGACTTTCTATCCACACGGAACCGACGAAAAACGTAACAGTATTAACTACAGCTTCTCCGCCGTACTTTAGCATTTCTGTTGTTATTCCGTCTTTTCCAGGTGATTTGTTGTTTTTCATTTTCTTCAATGCTCTTTATTTCCGATTTGCTTATTTCAGGTTGTAGTTCTGAGTTTCTTATTTTTGTTTGGAGTTTCTTTACAGTGTCTACCGGCGGCGGCGGTTCCCGTTTTGTTTCGTATAGTTCTGTATAGAACAACTCTGTGATTTTTATAATGTCATCTTTAATGTTAGTTTCTATGCCGTTCCTGTCCTTTATTTTATTTATTTCGATCTACCTAGAGTGGGTTTTAGACATTTCATACTTTTGTTATTTTTTATTACCCTCTCAATTTGTATTTCTTGGTTCTTTCTTTCATTTTCTTTTATCATTTTTCTTATGGTTTTATTTATCTCTGTGTATTCCATCGATGTCCTTTTTCCTTCTTTGTTCAGGTTACGCCTTTTATCCATGAGATTTTTTATATCTTCTGAGATGTAATTTTCTTTCTTTATGTCCTTTTGTGCAACTTCGTTTCCTACTTTTTTCATCGCTCTTGGCAGTGTATCGTTTATTTCGTCTACAGTTCCGTTTTCACTTCTTAAGGTTTGTTCTAACTGTTCCTTTAGCATTTCTTTATAAATCGTTTTATTCTCTGCAAGTTTATTCATGTCCAGTTGTTCGTGGTTGCTATTAATTTTCTTTTTCATTTCGAAATTACTATCAATAGATATGTTTGCTTTGACCATCCTGTGATCAAGCTGTTTAGGACTGTTATATCCCTAACGATCTTTTTCTTAGTAGTTAGTATATAATCAATTTCGTTTCTCGTTGTTCCATAAGAGTAGCCATGTCCACTTTCGTTGCGGTTTCTTCTTATAGAATGAGTTCATTGCGTATAGGTGTTTTCCTCTAGGTAATTCATTACAGCCGTGCCTCTATCATTCCTTTCTCCATATCCAAAATATCCTTTTCCATAATATAGTGGAATTAAAAAAATAAAATGAGAAATAAATGGATTTAATCTAAATAAATTAAAAAGGAAAAATGTACATTTCTAGACAGGGTGCTACAAATTCGAGGTACGAGCATAGGTATCTCGGTAACCGTAATAGATGCCATCAAAAAAGTTTTGAAAATATCAAGGATTGCTGAGTTTTTTGGTAAAAACCTGATAGAATCTATCTGATAGTATTTTTAGATTTTTTTTTCACCGGAAATGACTACGACTTTTGGTTTAAATTGTAACATGCGGTTCATAACGACATTTTGACTCGAAATACTAAGTGTGTGGTACCAAATTAATCGTAAAAAAATGCTTTTTCCAACTATGCTAATGAGCCACCCTTGTTCCATTTGAAAAAATTTAGATAGGATTAAAAATACGATTTGGGCATCTTTTAACTGGCCAGGACAAGACACGAAAAACGTAAGATCATCAAATCTACTTTTCCAAGGCTCCTTGTTTAAAAATCAGTGTTAAAGTTAAACATAGCCGTGGCACTCTAGATTGAAATTTAAAACACGATTTTTTTTAACAAAAACATGTCACTCTACCCAGAGTGTCATTTTCTATAGAATAAAGTAGAAATATGCCGAGGGTGCTATTTAAAAAACAAAAGTTTTAATAATTTCCGGTGAGACAGGGAATTGACCAAAAACAATTGAATACGTCAGTCAATCCTAATTTATATCATATATGTACTAACATACCAAATCTCGTTTTTTTGCCTGAAAAAATAAAAAAGTTATAAGGATGAGCGAGAAAACTATAAATATTACTTTTGTTTCCACCCAGCATGGTTTGATATAAATCATTTCAAAAATAAGAAATAATTAGACAATTTTTATAATACAAAATCCTCTAAGACAGTATTATCAGCTATTTCAATCAGTGTTGATTGCTCCGTATAAACATTTGGAATATAAAGAACTATTAGATATTGCAAACTTTTTAGTAAATGGTATACTTATCTGTGTTATTAATATAAACTCATTACTATCTTCAGCACAATGTCACCTATGTCCAATTTCACTCACGGCGGACTAGCAACCAGCATGGGTCCCTCACCAGGCGCCTGTCTTCAACAGAGGGAAAGTCCAGGAATGGGAGGCGCCATGGGAAGTTATTGCATGGGTAGACCGTCAGGGTATGACCTTGGTATAGGGTATGGTTCTAGACCGTCACCTTGTAGTCCAGGACAGCCGTATCACATGAACGGACATCAATATAATACGAATGGAACTTCCACAGGTGAGTTGGCCAGATTTAAATAAATGTATTAAAAAGGTGTGTATCATATCCAGATAAATTATGAATTTGAATAAGAAATTAAACCTATTTATATACATTGTTATTACTTTACTTTGGTCCACTTTTAACAAGATTTGACTTTTTTTGTAAAACATTTATTAAAATACAAATTATAGGGTTTTTAGGCGTTAAGTTTTCATCCGAATTGCTGTGTCCCATGAATGTTAACAAATTTATTTAGTAAAAAAACTTCCCTTTTTTAAATAATTCATATGTTCTCTTCGAACATCTTTAAGGTCCATTTTGACCAATTCAATCCTGATCTAAGCTTTTTTTTCAAGAAATGAACTATGTATAAATGATGTAAAGATGAACTATGTACAATAGGGTGTCCGTTATTTACCAAGTTGATCATTTCTCTCACGACGCCCTCTAATTTTTTTTGTTTATTGTCTAATAAAAATAACAGACCATTGTAAACCCTTAATATTCAATTCACAATAAACCTTGCCCCAAAGACGATTCATTTCTCATTTAAATTACATAGGAATTTACCACTTTTTGTAATTTTTTTTTCTTTCGATCTTGTTCTCTCGCAGCCATGACAATCACATATTCTTGTACAGAACTGAACTCTCTAAAAAAGGTCTCTTATAATTTTTCGATAAACCTACTCCTTCAAAAGTTATTCACGGTTAAAGTTAACCACTCGTTAAATTTCTAATTTTTTCAACTTTATGATTATTTTTGAAAAATTTAATCTATTATTTGAAAAAAAGCAATTTTCATGATACCATGACCCAAGTAGCATCTATCTGACTTCGAACTAAATCTGACCTGAAGCGACGTCAGACTTTGTGCAAATTTAGGTCGGGTGCTGGTGATGCGACCTGTGACGTCGCTTTCCTATTAAAAGCGACGTCGTTGCATCCGAGTCGGTAAATCCAACGATCTGTCGACGTACAAAATAACAACGTACCATTTTTATTAATTTCCCAACGTCGTTCCCACGTTGGCTTGCACGACGTACATATACTTGAACTAGCCCGACGTCTACCCGTTGTCCGAATAGGATACGTCTCACTGATAATCCCTAAAGTAACGTCCAATATATTGTTCATATTTATAACCTAATTTACGTATCTCTATTTACGTCGGTAAATACAACCCATTAAGTGGCATTTGCGACCTAATGAACATCATGAACATAACCTAATAAAAAGTTTTTGAAAACAAACTTAATTTTTTATTATGCCTAAAAAAACACTAAAAATGCATTTAGACGTTCATCTACATTTTACAGAAAGAGGTCGAGGCTATTGAAAAATAATAATAGTAGTAGTGATGTCTTGCCTCCACCCGTAAAAGCTTTTTATCCGGAAGAGATGCTGTATTACACTGGTGCATCTTAATTTCATTTTTTAGCTTAGGAAACTAGCAGACCCCATCCTCCGACGACATGTGAGGTTAGGCTTAAAAAAGTGGCTGACAATTTTTTTTAAGAAGAAAACAAAAACTAAAATATAGTTGCACAAATCCACAAATCACTGATACGCAAAGTGAGGTTACGTGGCGTACGTTGGAATTATATACGTCATAATACGATTGCCGGTCGTCCGGTTTGATGACTTCGATCGTGTGAGACGACTAATGTTGGAGACCCGGTCGGAATTGGTATATTGGTAGTTCATATTAAGTCGGACACAGAAATCCGCCATTCTTAACACGTATCCGATTGTCAGCCATTTTAAAATCGTTTTTTGTTTTAAAATTTATATATTCACATTTCGATTTCTAGTAGAATAATATTGATAAGGTTGAGTTTGGGGGGAACCACAGTACAGTTTTATGATTAAACCAGCTAGAAAATAAAAAAAAATATTTTGCGAGTTACTTTTTATAGATATTTTTATTTCATAAATCTACCTAATTTTGAAGGCGCTCGTTGTTTTCCGGAGTATTTTAACCAGATATATCAAGAAAGTGACTTCCGTTGACAAAACTGATGTCTGGATTAATGATTCAGAATTATTATAATATGAAATTAGATAGGCACTTATAGTTATATTCGAGGAGTGATTATGAATCCATTTGTAATTAGGTAGTTTGCTTAGGTTTTTATGTATTTTTGGTAGCGAATATGAAACCAAACGTAACGTAAGTGCTTAGCGACGAATTTTAAGTGACTAAAATCCAACGTAATATGACGTTGGTAATTGGTAGACTTACATTCCCTATTAGGTCAGATACCGACGTCGAGGCGACCCGAATCTGTATTCCCCATTTAGGTGCAAATAAGGGTCGTCAGGCGGTCGAACCGACGTTGGTACCCGACGTCGGGTTTATTGAACGCGACGTATACCCGACGTTAGATAACGTCCAAATGCTACTTGGGGATAAACAATTTTGAATCATAGAAAACAATTGAATGCATATGACAGGTAGTTAATTCTAATACTTATTATTTTTGAGCTTGTATTCTTTTGCAGTACTTAATTAACTATATTTTAAGTACCTCAGTTCGGTAAATTTCTGTTATTTTCCTAACATTTTTTTTCTATTGAGTCGACGATTTGAATTTATTTTTACAAACATTTTTGCCAACATACGGATTTTTTCTACGCAAGCGCACTTCAACGCATTTAGTATATCGACTATACTCACTTGCCTCTAGCCAGACCGGGCAACTCTCCAACTTCCAACCCACAGTTCTGATGGCGGTCGAAGTATCCCGATCATTTTCCAATAATGCCCGCCAAATTTAAAACGTGAGTTATTTTCTTGTCTTTTATTATAAACTTGTAACTTTCGAGAGTAAGTTCTTCAGTAATAGTAGCATAACTTAACCTAAACTTCAAGAACGTACAAATTATAATAATATATAACAGTTCTACAAAATCGGTCGGGTATTTCGCGGGCAATCTATAAACTAAAAAAAATACCCCAGAGAGTAACCAACGCAATCAAAATACGACGTTGTCACAAAAGTTGAAGAATTTAGAAATTTACCGAGTGGTTAACTTTAATCGTGAATAACTTTTGAAGGAGTAGGTTTATCGAAAAATTGTAAGAGACCTTTTTTGTAGAGTGTCAATTCTGTACAGGAATATGTGATTGTTATGGCTGCGAGAGAAAAAGATCGAGAGAAAAAAAATATTTGCAAAAAGTGGCAAATTCCCATGTAATTTAAATGGGAAATGAATCGTCTTTGAGGCAAGGTTTATTGTGAATATTAAGGGTTTATTTACAACCACACATGCAATACTGACATTACTGACTTTTAAAAAATTTGAAAGTGTCAAATTATCTACATTTCTTCCCTCTTCCTTTTCCCTCACTCGGTTTTTCTTATTTCTCGCCTCATTTAATTAAGCAAAATATTCTTGTAATATCTTTATTAAATACTTCTCTAACATCAACAAAAATAAACAAGAAGATTAACAATAATAATTGAAAATTTTGATACATTTATTTGTTGAAGGTAAAAATGCTAGACGTTGGCTTAAAACCTATACATTCTGGCGTTTTAAAAAAGCTACGAGTTTGTGATATTTTGATATGTCAGTCTTTTCCCTTAACTCTAGCATTGTCCGTATCATGATGTACGTAGCCCAAAGAGTAGATGGCTTTTTCTGCCTTGCCATGTCGCTAAAATATGCCATCAAGACTGTCTCGAAAGTAATATTCTTAGCATTTTTTTCGGCACACCATTTTTCGTATACTTTCAATGCTATTTCATATCGCCCCCTACTTTTCTCTGGAAGGAAACTGGCTTCTGCTCTTTTTGCAGCTTCTGTAAGTTCTGGTGGAGTACCAATATTAAAGTAGTCTTCATTATCAGAACTTTCCGACAACATTCTGGCTTTCTATGTTATATAAGTTCTAAAAAGCGAATGAGAAATTCAAAACTGTCACTTAGTTGTCTGTTTTGCTGTTGAAGGTTTGCACCATATCAACCACTACCGGTAACTATAGATATGGAAATGCCAAAACAGAAAACGACAAATTTTATCATATTTATTTTATTTCTGCAAAATAAAATACTGTCCCTATTTTTAATTAATGATGTGGTTGTAAATAAAATAGTATACAAACCTCGGAGGAGAGTTTTCATTATTGTCTTGAGATTTAGTTAATCTCTCGATAGTAATGAAACACTTCCCTCCTCGGTATGTAATATACTATTACAAAGGTCTGTTATTTTTTTTAGATAATAAACTAAAAATTTTATTTAGAGGGCGTCGTGAGAGAAATGATCAACTTGGTAAATAACGGACACCCTAATGTACAATGATGTAAATAAACATGCATAGCAGAGTGCATAATATATTATGACATGTGCCATTATTTTTAACTATTTTGTATGCTTGCTTTGTTTCAGGTCTTATATCACCAGGCGTTTCAGTTCCCATAGCCGTACCAGGTCAAACTGATATGACGTCCCAATACTGGCCGCGTATACAGTGACCCTGGTGGAGTTAAGTGCCACAAACTAAACTCAAAGAGTAATTTCTATCTAACTTTTAACTAGAATTAAAGTGAATGTACAAAATGTAACTCTTACGGATACGAGCGCTAAAACTGTTTCATAATATTTTTATCAGAAAATTTTTAAATAGTGATATAAGAAGGGTAAAAAGCGTTGGATGTTTCAATAGTTAAGGCGACTAACACTTTCAAGTGTTTTTATAACTATTTTTATTTTAACGTAATGTAGATATTCTATTTTTGATCAGATCACTATTTTTATTTTTAGCTTAAAGAAAAATATACAGGGTCGTCCGAACTGTATTCCGGAAATATCGGCAGCATATTCTGCGGATAAAAATAAGTAAAAAAGTGCGTATAAATGTATGTCCTAAAACGCTTAGTTTTGGAGCACAGGGTGTAGAAGTTTAATTTTTATTTCGCTGATTTCGATTTTTTCCAAATAATATATGAAATAACCAATATTTGGATCAAAATTTGTGTCTGGGAGTTTTTTGACATGAGAAATTTGATTTTAATGTCAATATGACTACTTGTAGAGGGCGCCACCTACATATTTTTAACTGGTTTGAAAAATAATAACTTTTCGTCGGTACCTGTATAAAACTACTGAGTAAAAAAAATATACATTTATGACGTTTTTTACCTAAAAAAAGTTTCTTGGTAAAAAATGCTACGAGTAATGGTTCTCGAGATATTTGGAATCGAAATTATCAATACCTGTCATCTCTGACATAAATTAAACATGTTGACTAAATAGTTATTAGACTGAAATCATATATTTTAAGTGTTTTTGTGCCAGAAGTTCAATAGAAACTGTTTTATCATCATTTTTGCGCAGAAAAATTTATGATTAATATAAAAAAATAAATATTTCCCAAATGCATTATTTCATTCAAATAACTATAGTTTGTGAAAGCTTTGAATAAGAAGACTAAGGAAGGAGCATAATGCTATCCATGTATTCATGCATGGTGGGCGGAAAAAGGACTCTAGGGTGGGGATCCGTGACAGTTCTGTCTGACGATTTATTTGACACATTTGAAGTTGATTTGAAATTTTGTGGATTTGTCAGTCTTTACGGAGGTTATTTTATGTTATTTATTATTTATTCTACTACTGATAGTTGCATAACGGTAGCAAATCTAGATGGAAATTGTGGCAGAACTTAAATTAACAGTGACACTATCGCGATTTATCGAAAAATACTCTAAAATAGTTGGTTATGTAGCGTGCGGTAGATCTCGGCAAAAATCGAGTGAAATAATGGAACAACTTTTCGCTAGTAAGTGACTACATAATATACATACGTATAGTAAACTGATCATTTATGAAATTCACTTAAATTAACTAATTATATATCTTTTTCTTGCATTTTTGCTTTTATTTACTAGTCAAAGATTAGATGTCAAGGAATTTAGATACATCAGTTTGACTTACCTGCTTCAGTAGCGTATCGGATGTTTGTGTTAATAATTATTATAACTTATCTATTTTTATTAGAATTTTATATTTTTATAACAATTTTAATAACTACCAACATTTATTCACAACGTAAAATAAAAAAAAACAAATTATTGAGTCTACCCCACGTCTACCCTACATCATAGTTTTACATTTTTTAAATAAAATTAGAACGGCACTGATAAACCGGAATTTAAGTCGGCCATATTTGAGTCCCTTCGGTGGACCTAAGATTTTTGCTATGCTCCTTCCTTAGTCTTCTTATTCAAAGTGTGAAACGAATAACTTTGAATTTGACAGTTCCCGCGGGCTTTTCTAGTATTCATTTTATTAGGTTAGCAACTTGCGCCCATGCTGACGCAATGCCGTCTCTAATAGAACAGCCTCGGAGCGAGATTTATGACGTCACGCTAGTTAGATACTACAGATTTGCATTCGCAAAATTTATATGTATATTTTGCAAGTATCAATGTTCGAAAAATTTGTAAATAATACAATATTATAGAAAAAAAGGCGTCAGCGATGGCTATGAAATAAAAATCGCTGTCATTTTATGTGTAAAATTATTCTAAGATTTTTGATTTTCTTGGGATTTAGGTTCGGGAAAAACGCTGATTAAGTTTTCATTCGGTTTTTTATTATTTTTTTTTGGTTTAAAAAAATGACGTTTCGGCTAACATTATAGCCTTCATCAGTGTTGTGTCATATGAACAAATAGTGTCGAATATAATCCAAAAAATTACATATAAAATATTCACAACCTAACCTAACACCACATAATGTTAACTGCAATTAATAAACTAATATAAACTTGTCAAAAGATGACCACATATTTTTTAAAATTATTATTCTTAACACTAACTGCACTATCTACATTGACTATGGAGTACGATTTCAGCCATAGTCTATGTAGATATTTTTAGCGTTAAGAATAATTTATTATTAATTATTATTAATTAATTGCAGTTAACATTAAGTGGTGTTAGGTTAGGTTGTGAATATTTTATATGTAATTTTTGGATTATATTCGACACTATTTTTTCTAACTAGCGTGACGTCATAAATCTCGCTCCGAGGCTGTTCTATTAGAGACGGCATTGGTCTGATATTTAGAAATGTCAAAAGCTGATGACATTTTACTTTTGACAATTATGACATTTCGTGTTGATTTTTTGCAAGAAGTGTCACTTGTTTTATTATTTTCCTTTTCTATTTCAGGAAAGTAAAAAGAGTTACCTATCTGATTCGTTCAAGCACTCAATTTAAAAAATTTCAGTAACTTTTTTGACAGAGGGTTTTATATTTGCCATGTTGGTAAAAAATAACGGTCAAAATTCAAAGTTATTCATTTTATAGTTATCTACTCAACGTTTTTATTTTTTGTCAATAATGGCATGTATTGATTATTTCCGTTCTAAATATTTTCATAGCGGTTATTCGTAGCGATTTTTACCAAGAGACATTTTTAACGTAAAAAGTCACGGAAATGTATATGTTTTCACTCAGTAGTTTTATACAGGTACCGACGAAACGTTATTACTCTTTAAACAGTTAAAACACATGTAGGCGGCGCCCCCGACAAATAGGACTCATATTGACATCAAAATCAAATTTCTTATGTCAAAAAACTACCAGACACCAATTTTCATCCAAATATTGACGTTACTTCAGAAATTATTTGGAAAAAGTCGTAATAAAAATGAAACATCTACACCTTGTATCTCCGAAACTAAGCATTTTAGGACATACATTTATACGAATTTTTTTCCTTATTTTTATCTGCAGAATAATTCTGCCGAAATCTCCGGAATACAGTTCGGACCACGCTGTATAAAAACAAAACACTTGAAACTGATACAATGGGAATGTGCAAAGGCAACTTCATTTTTTATTAGTACTAAAATTATCAGAGTACTCACTATCAGTCATCGCCAATCAGATATTACAATATCAGTTTGCAAACTGTTTTCTGATTGGTTCTGAATGTTTTGAAACCTATAATAAACCAAGCACATTGCGACATCTAATACTTCGTTTTGTAATTTGAATGTCCATTTTGTAAAAAAATAACCTTATTTTAATCGACACTTGTTAAAAACAAAACGTACTTTAAGCGAAAACAAATTACTGTTTAAAAATAAAAAAATATTTTTGCCAAAAATATTTTCCTTTCCAAAGAATTCGATTGAATGCATGTTTGTATGTATGTCTGTGATGTGTTACTGATGTTAATATAAAGATTTATTTTAAATCTATAATAACTGCTTCAATATTTACATTGGCAATATATCTTTTTCTTATTCCACTAAGTTATGTATTATTAGTTATAATTATTGTCTTTAAAGAAAAGATTATTTTCAAATGATAGCCGAATTGCATTCAGGCAATGTAAGGTCCCTACACATTATAAAATACCGCGATTATTTTACCCCTATTTTGACTCTAAATAGAGGCGAGAAATTTAAAAATAAGAGCGCACAACAATGCAAATCAATGAGAACTAGATCAATGCGATAATTCAACCATCCTACTAATAATCCAGTAAAATTACATATAGGCCTGTTACTTTATAAAGCTATGCCAACAGGAACTAATATACAATTCGTCGACAAACCATTGAATATAAAGATTCCCAACAACCAATAAAGACAAACTAATTGTTGTATTCTATTTATCTAAGGGCTTTATGATTATGTGTCATAAAAGCATCATGTAGTTTCTTTATTATTATACATAATAAAAAATAAAACACTAAATCACCACAATACACCAAAACACTTTTACTTTTACACTGGACGCGCGTTTCACGCACGTAGCATCATCAGCAGATGATTAAAACTAAACTACAATCTACAATTTGAGCGTTTATATACCCGCTCAGTGGGCACCGAGTGGGCGTGGCAAGATCTAGCCAACCGAGTCAGAGCCCACTGAGCGTAACAGTTAGATTTCCGCCACTAGAGTAGTGTAGGAACAAAGAACTTGAAGGAATTGGACCGTTGTCTCTGTTCATACTATCTTTACATTTATTAATTCTGATGCTTTCATATGCATCTAATTGCCTGTAATTTGAGACTTGTTTAATTAATTCTAAATTATTAAGATCTATACAATGTTCTTATTATCAACAATATGTTCAGCAACGCAAGATTTATCCGATCTAACATATCTTATCTGAGCTAAATGTTCTTTAAATCTAGTTAAAATTGATCTTCTAGTTTGCCCAACATATTTCTGATTACAATCTTTACAATAAATTTCATAAATACCCGACCTTTCCAGTGGAGGTGTTTTATCCTTTGGATTACCTAATAATTGTTGTAATTTATTATTAGCACTATACACGAGTTTATAATTGACATTCTTAAAAATAGGAGAATATCCATTACACTCAGCTTCTCCTTCACCAGTTGATAAAATAATTAGAAAACGTAGGATAGGTTAATGATTTCTGAAAATTCGACTTTTCAAGTGGAGAAAAATACGTTAAAATATTTTTCAATACCGTTTGATAGAGAGTTATCTCGTGGTCTAAAAGGAATTTTTAAGAATGTCAATTATTCACTCGTGTATAGTGCTAATAATAAATTACAACAATTATTAGGTAATCCAAAGGATAAAACACCTCCACTGGAAAGGTCGGGTATTTATAAAATTTCTTGTAAAGATTGTAATCAGAAATAGGTTGGGCAAACTAGAAGATCAATTTTAACTAGATTTAAAGAACATTTAGCTTAGATAAGATATGGTAGACCGGAAAAATCTTGCGTTGCTGAACATATTCTTGATAAAGAACATTGTATAGATCTTAATAATTTAAAATTAATTAAATAAGTCTCAAATTACAGGCAATTAGATGCA